ATGTTTTTCAATCTCATTCTCCTGCCTTCTCCCCATTACCCTTGATCCCCTTACTAATCAAGAACCTACCTATCTTGAATACACTCAATGGCTTGTCCTCCACAGCCTAAGACTAAATTAAATTGGGCTCATTCTTAGATCATAAAGTGGTTATGCTTGCATGTATTAGGCCATGTAACCTTCTAAAGACCTCACACAGGATATCCATGGCAGTGCACACAACCCAGTGATCATGGTAGGATCTGCAGATTTAATTTAGCGGAGCCTGTTCCAACGAAGCAAAGATGCTGGTAATCCACAAGTCATAAGGACAGTGAAACCAAAATACCTTGTGACAATACTCAATGCTGAAAAGTATTTGAAAGAATAATATCAAAAAAGTGTTTCAGACCTAATAAGAGATGATTTGGAACTCATGAAATCAGCAGCTCTAAGGCAGAGGTACAGAATGCATTGTGAAATGGTAGTCTGCTGAAGCAGTCATGAGTTCTACTTCATTTGGTGAGTGAAAAGACATCAGAAATTGAATAAATCAAAATGAAAAATCCTTCGTACAAAAGGAAAACTTTAAATGGGTACAATAATTCAAATGGTGCCAGAGAGTGGAGACACTGTGTAAAAATTTTCACTGTATTTCACATGTGGCAATCAACAAGTCAAATCAAGTCAGAATTTGAAGCCTAAGTTGCAGTTCAGGTCAGGTATTGCCACAATAGTGTAAAGACTCTATTCTTTTATTACTGACTGTTTTTAATTATGGAATTAAATGAGGGAAAGGATGTATTAAAAGCCAAGGACAGTTAAAGGATTGTTGCATTTTTTTTTGAAAAAAGGCATGTTACCTGACATTAATTGTAAGTGTTGTTTACACAGCTGTTAGTTCAAACAGTAGTTGAAGTCTGGTTACAATCAAGCTGGACCCAAAGGATGTGTATGAATGGAGCAGTAGCTGGCAACAAATAGCTGAAGAAAACCAATTTGTTTTTCTCTTATCAGAAGCTATAAAGCTGTATCCCTTAACCAAAAAGTTAGAGACTTTAGAAGAGTGAACAAAGTTCAGTTCTCCTGTGCCCATTGCAAGCAAGTGAAAGTACCTGGAGAAGGAAGATCAATGGACTTGTCCCAGTATTAAATCAAACTCCCCTTGTGCTTTTAACTGCTTCTTGAGTGAGCCAGCATCCTATGTTTAACCCATTAGACTCAACATTAGGCATTCTGAACCGTCCCACGAAGATCCTACATTTTGTTTATTTTCACTGACTGCCTGCCCACATTCAAACTCAAGATACCACAAAGTGGAGCTCCAGTGCATTCATTTTCAAGTAGTAGTTATTTTTAAAAAACTTTTTTCCCTTTGGGCATCCTCCTTCAAAACCCTGTTCCAACCCTTCACGTCCTCATCCACATCCTCATCCTCATTCTGCTATTCCCCTGGCCATACTTGCACCCTTCCTCACCCTGCGCTGTGGGGTGGTGGTAGGGCGAGGCGGGGAGGGGTGGTGGTTGGAGGGGAGTGGCAGGAATGGCATCCTCAAAGTAGATTTCAGGGACCTAATAAGAAGATTGAAAAGCAAGACTTCCAAAGAGGCCATCACGAGATTATCCCCAGGTGACTGCTAGCGAGTATAGAAATGGCTATTGGACACGTGGCTGGAAAACTGATCTAAGAGGAAGGAGCATTAGATTCTGAGACATTGAGACCAGTACTGAGATAGATGGAAGTTGTAGAAGATGGTTTGCATCTCGGCAGGACCAGAATTATGATGCTCACAGGAAATTTGCTAGCGTTGTTCTGAAGGGTGTAAACTGACTGGAAACCAGAGACAGTTTAGATTCAAGAGAAGCGAAACCTAGTAAAATTGGAAGTAGAAGAGTAGTGAGCAATAGTGGAAAACAGACAAAATAACTGCAAACATTAAATAAGATCAAAGTGGAGAATAATGTTTAAAAAGGCTGAATTAAAGCACTCAAAGAACATAAGATTCACAAAATAACTGATAGAATGTCTACATAAATAATGGGGTGACTCAGTTAGCACTGTTACCTCACAGCACCAGGAACCTGGGTTCAATTCTACCTTCAGGTGACTGTCTGTGTGGAGTGTACACATTCTCCCGTGTTTGCGTGGGTTTTCTCCAGGAGCTTCGGTTTCCTCCCACAGTCCAAAGATGTGCAGGTTGGGTGGCTTAGCCATGAGAAATGCAGGTTACAGGGTACATAGAATATAGAACAGTACAGCACAGTACAGGCCCTTTGGCCCATGATTTTGTGCTGACTTATTATCCTACTAAGATCAATCTACCCTGCATATCCTACATTTTATTATCCTCCATGTGCCTATCCAAGAGTCGCTTAAAAGTCCCTTAAGTATCTGACTCCACTACCACTGCCGGCAGTGCATTCCACACGCCCACCACTCTCTGTGTAAAGAACCTACCTCTGACATCTCCCTATACCTTCCTCCAATCACCTTAAAATTATGCCCCTCGTAATAGTCATTTCTGTCCTGGGAAAAAGTCTCCGACTATCCACTTTACCTATGCCTCTCATCATCTTGTACACCTTTATCAAGTCACCTCTCATCCTTCTTCACTCCAATGAAAAAAGCCCTAGCTCCCTCAACCTTTCCTCATGAGACCTGCCCTCCAGTCTAGGCAACATCCTGGTAAATCTCCTGCACCGTCTCTGCAGCTTCCACATCCTTCCGAAAATGAAGCGACCAAAACAGAACACAATATTCCAAGTGTGGTCTAACCAGGGTTTTATAGAGCTGCAGCATAACCTCACAGCTGATAAACTCAATTACCCTGCCAATGAAAGCCAACACACCATACACCTTCTTTACAACCGTTTCAACTTGGACGTGGATAAAACCATAAAAACATGACTAATTTACCAAGGACTTCCTTGAAAATATATTTATGTGATGTCTTGAGGGCAAGTCTGGAAAGGGAGATATCAGACATAACTCATTGCCAAGATCTAGAAGGGAGGAAATTTTGTTCCTGAAGACGACAAAAATGTTATGTACCAGTTAGGGAAGATTGCTGAAAAATTAGATTCAATTTACTTGTGAAACAAAAACTTCTTTTTGACAGTGCTGATCTAATCCATTAGTCAGTCAATGGGCATATTTTTGTTTAGCTTATTTATATTGCGTTGGAAAAGATGATAAAGTACCGCAGTGATGGGAATAAGGCAGCATTTAATAAAGATACTTCTATGAAAGTGACACCCTCCTTGAAAGGATGTAAATATGACATTGATTCTATAAAAGGTGCTTAGCAAGGAGATTGTGATAGATGAGTATGTTTCTGAGCATATGACAAAATTTTGAGGAATTTTATACTGAGGAGGACAATGTAGAATTCCAAAAGGACATAGCTAAGTTGGTGAAATGTGTGGATATGTAGCAGATAAAGGTTAATGCAGACAGATGTGAGGTGATGCATTTTGAAATGAAGAACATTGAAAGACAATTTTAAATAGGCGTACAATACTAAAGGAGTGCAGGAGCAGAGGGACATGGATATTTGCGTGCACAGATCATCAAAAGGTTGCAGGACAAGTGGAGAAAGTAAATTATAAAGCATACAATATCCTCAGCTTTAGTAAGAGACATAGGCTACAAGATCAAGATGGTGATGTTGGACTTGTATCAAAAACTTGTTAGACCTCAGCTGGAGTGTTGTGTACTGTAGTAGACATCACAATATAGGAAAGACGTCAATGCATTGGAGAGACTGTAAAATAAATTCACAAGAAATGATTCCAAGAATAAGAAACTTCAGTTATGAAGTTAGATTGAAGAAGTTGGAGCTGTTCTCCTTGGCAAGAAGAATGCTGAGGGGAAGTTTGATAGGAATTTTCAAAGTCGTGAGTGGGATAGATAAAGCAAATAAGGAGAAGCTGTTCCTGCTCAAAAAGAGAACAAGGGTGAAAGGCACAGGTTTAAAATGATGTGCAAAAGAAGGGTGATTCAAGAAAAAAATTTCTATCCCCCGCACCCCTCCACCCACCTCAATGACAACCAACAAGGAGTTAGGCTGTGGAACTATCTAGAAGTGTGATGGAGGCAGATTCAATTGAGTCACTCAAGAGGGCATTGGATAATTATTTGGATAGAAATACTGTGCAAGGATATGAGGAAAAAGCAGAAAATTGGCGCATGGTAATAAATATTTGTTTGAAGAGCCAATGCATGTATTATAGGCAGAGCGGCCTCCTTCTGTACAATAAATAATCTGTGTTGCCTTTCGAGAGGCAATATGTAAACTGCACCACTACAGGAGGCCATCCAAACACACACTTCTGCCTGCATAAGGCGATTATGGAGGTCACAGTCTTAAGTAAATCTTTCCGGCATATAGTCACTCCAGTTAGTCAAGGGGTGTCTATGTAATATCAGCTAGGTATGCTTCCATTCCAAATTTCATCCAGCACCACGGAGCTTAAAATCAAAGAAATACTATCCCTATTTTCCAAGGCTCAATATCCAGTGCATCTCTGCAAGATTTTCCATCTACAAAAGGATCATTTGCAGTTTCCAGACCAGCATAATCTGTGACCAGGGGTCTCGGTTATGTTGGTGTGTTTGGAATGATTTTGGGCTCATATTCTTCTTCAGAATATGATTACATAAGCTCTCAGGTGATCGGTCTTCAGAAAAGAAACGGCAGTTGGTTTAAAAAAAAACTCATTTCAATCTCAACCAACACATTCACTTTTGTGAAGATAAAAAAAATAGACTAAATACAGTTTAACATTCTCTTTTCAAAAAGTCAGGGAACGCTAAGAGATTGATTAGTATGAATTTTAATTAAAAACAAATAGCAAGTATGACTTTGGCATATCAACTAAAGAAAATCTCAGTTAAATTCAGGCTGGAAAGTACGAGTATAAATGTTGCTATTGAAATTTCATACAGCCTGCACTTATGAACCTGTGGTTTCCTGATTATTACAACTTCCTGTTACTGCTGTTTTAGCTTTGCAGGATTAGGCATTTTGCTATCAGAGCAACTCAAAGATTCATTCAGAAACATCATGATAAAAACGGTTGTTGTCTACTTGCTGATTGTGACTGGTAAGTCTGTCATTCTTACCATTGGAATATTAAGTGGCAAACAATCATCTAGTAAAGTGAAAATGATTCAGTAAAACCTGTCAGACCAAAACATTTGAATTTAGAAACATTTCGGGACAGAACCTAAAAGAAATGTTTTTTTAAATACGTTATTGTTCGCAATATAAAAGCTTTTGTAAATTCTAGAAGGTTCCATCTTTGGATGGAACATAGAAACTGTGATAGTAAAGGCTAAATTTATATAGCTTTTCTATATGGAGATTGGTCTAGTGGAGGAAGGATGATTAAGAATGCCATATTTTTAACAAATGTTGTATTCAGTTATTATTGTGCTAATTTACACTTGTCACAAGTTCTTAAGCTCTTAAAAAAACCCTACCAGAATTTGGCAGCTTGATTTATTTCATAAGCTTTCCTTACTTAGAAGTATGGAATAACTGTGACTTACACCACAAACTACACGGCTTTGTGTATCAGTCATCCTATTACGAATTGTACCCAAAATTTCCTGGAAAAGTAAAGTCATCTGAATGAGTTGTTCAATACTGGCATGACTTTAAGTATTCAAAGTCTGAATTTCAAATACTTCTATCATACAGATATTATTCAAGCTTTGAATACATTCAACTGGGAATGTTCTCACTTAGCGTTTTAAACCATATATTTAGTAGATGGCATTAGTGATTTAAGATATTTAAAACAGCCAGATCATGGGGTTGGGTCGATTGTACGTTCTTTCACTCATTGCTTGGTTAAGAAACAGGGGTTCAAAAATTTGGCAGAGCTATGGCCTTTTGCCACCCCATCTACAACAGCTGCAATGTCGGTTTAATTCAGGCAACAATTAGATGGCCCTGACTACAACCTTATACACATTAGTGTTCATAATCAGGTCAATGAGGGTCTGTTTAAGGATTGCTTTGAATTGAACAGAACATTTTCAGTTCCTTCTGCTAGGATAGTATTTCTTTTTCGGTTTTTCAGTTCCTTTTGCCAGAACTGTATTCTGCCTTCTCACCATTGACTCCTATTGCAATGAATTCTCAGTCTCTCAAACTGCTCACCTTACCCAATTTTTGCTTTTACAAAGACTTTAAAATATCAGAATTTGTGGTTCTCATTACTAAAGTGATTTTCTTTTCTGCAACTCTCAAATCCTGTTAATGTTCTGAACTATAATTCTAAGCCTATTAATCTAGATTTTTAAAGAAAAATCACTAAGTACATCTAATTATCATGATTGTACAAAAAACAAACAAAAAATGCAATGCCAAAAGACAGAACATGCAAGAAAAACTCAGTAGGTGTGAAAACATCTATGATGAGAGAAACAAAGTTTTAAGTCCAATATGACTCTTCTTTGGAACGGAGACCTTAAGATTGGCCAGTTCTGAAGAACCATCTTATTGGACTCAAGACATAAATTCTGCTTCCCTCTCTGCTGATGCTGACAGTTTCTTCCCCACTATAACCATTTCAAGTGCTGTGGCCTTTAGAGTCCCAGATGAGCCTGACAATTGTATGGGGAGTGCCTTTCTCACTGCTAACCAAGCAATACCTTGGTGCATGTTTGAAAGCTCTGGCAATGAGGTATTCTAAAAGAAAACTGTTATGGTCCACTAAGGGAACTCTCTGACAGTATTCTCCAAATCATTTTCTCAAAAAAGATTCAAGAATGAGATCTTTGGACAACTGTATGATGGATGTGCTTTTTGTTTTAAAATGTACAGTTTATACTTCTATGGTAACCTCTTTTAAGGCAAACTGTTGCAACTCCGCACTAAATTACAATCCAACTCATTGAAATTTGTGAGAAAACAAAGCAGATCAAGAACCAAAACTCATTTAATGGAGTCCAGCATCAAAACACAATGTTGTTAATTTGTCTGGATAAAATAAAGATGCTAGGTTTGTTTTATCCCTTAATTATTGGGGTATCAAAAAATTGGGGTCGTGACCAGGATCACAATTCATCGAATTCAAGGGATCTATGTATATTTTAAAGAAACAAGTAGGGAGGTACTGAACGTTAAACAGGAGTATTATGGTGATGCTTATTGCATACAGCAGACTTTCAAAATGACTTCAAGAGTTGCTATGATTTTTCTTGAAGTAGAAGACATGAGTATTATGCGAAGCCTTTGTCTAAAGTTAGAGAGAGAGAGTTGGCACTTGAATTGAGGGCAAAAATTAAAATGGATTCTCAGAAGGATGAGTTGCCTAAAGTAATTGGCAAAATCTTAGAAGGGAGGCCTGAGCTTGCTGTCTTCACTAGAATCAAATAATATTCAGAGAGAAGTGAAAGCTTGATTTGGAAAAGAAAAGAGAAATGGAAAGGGTAAGAAAGAAGGAAAAAAAAATTGAAAATAAAGTTTGAAATGGAGTTTGAAGAGAAGAGAAGAGTGAAAAACATGGAAAGAGAGGAGAAAGAAATAGACAGGGTAATGGAGTTTTAAAAGAGTGAACTCCAAACAGTTAAGAATCAGAGAGCATGACTTGGCCAGAGGAAAACTTAAGAGTCATTAAAAGAAAGAGGTAGCAGCTTAAACAGTGATTCTGATTCCAATTTGATTTAACTAGAAATCTACGCTTAATCCTTAAATTTAGAAGATAGAGATGGAAGATATTTACCTAATTTAAGGCGGCAGTTGTATAGGCCAGTTTATCAGTGCAGTAGTTGGAAAATTATGACAGGGAGAGTAAAATGCAGGTGCCTAAACCATTGGATGGAATATTGCGTTAACTTAACTAAAATTATTGCAGTAACTTATAAAAGCTACAGACTAAAGTGATTTGTTTTAATAAGCCAGACTCCATTGGTAAGCTTCTTGAAGAAAGGCAAGAAATCTGAATGGTCAATAGAATATCGGAGTGTCTTCGACAAATTGAAAGTTGTATTGACATTGAATTCAACAGCACAAAATTGTGAGAAAGCATTCGTACACTGATAGTTGATGCCTACAACATTGATGTGGGAGGTGTTTCCCTACAATGACAAGCTGGTTGTCAAATAGTCAGTTATTTGTCCAGAGAAAATGGGTGCTTGATTATCAACATTAATATTTGCAGTGGAAGAAGAGAGAGGGTGGTCTGCAGACTCCACAGAAGTTCAAAAAGTTTACTCATCCAATAAATCTGAACAGACTAATTTATATTGACCATAATACCTCAATTTTTGTTTTGCGGAGATTCCATGACAAAAATTTGAATTTGTATCATTGGCATTTAATAGTCCAGACATACAATTTAAAAATCAATCATTTGCCTAGAGAAGACAATATTTCAGGAGTGACAAAATGATGGAGGGTAAAGCAGTGGATATTGTCCATGTTGACTTTACCAAGGCATTTGAAAAGATCCCTCTTGGTAGGCTGAATGAGAAGTTTAAGTCATTTAGGATCCACAGCGAGTTGATAACTTAAGTACAAAATTTGCTTGGTCATAGAAGACAGAGGGTAGTTGTGGGATGATTTATTTTATGCCAGACTAGAGGTCTGTGACCAGTGATGTTCTGCAAGGATCAGTGCCAGAATCTTTGTTGTTTGTAATTTATATAAACAATTTGAATAAAAATATAGGTAGTCTGATAATTAAGTTGGCAGATGACATGAAAATTGGTGGAGGTGTGGATTTAGTGAGGAAGGTTGTCAAAGGATACAACTGGACATAAAACAGTTGTAAAGTTGAGTGAAGAAATGGCACTGGGACTTTAATCCAGACAAGGGGACAACAGAATACGATGATCAAGAAGTATTTATATAAGATGTGTTTGTTATGAAAATCAATTTTAAGAATTGTTGTTTGATGGAATGTGAAAATACCTCAAGCATATCCTTTTATTTAAGCTTTGGGGTAAATGTGATTAAAAAGCCTACTACATTTTTGTATTTGGATTTTAAAGGAGAAGTGAATAGGACTGGTTCAGCTATGTGATTTTTTTTATTGAGAAAAGATCAGAAAGTCAAATTAGAATGGTGACCTAAAATATCCGTTCCAAGTACGGCACGGTGGCTCAGTGGTTGGCACTGCTGTCTCACAGCACCAGGGACCCGGGTTCAATTCCACCCTCTGGCGACTGTCTGTGTGGAGTTTGCACATTCTCCCTGTGTCTGCGTTGGTTTCCTCCGGGTGCTCCGGTTTCCCCCCCACAGTCCAAAGATGTGCAGGCTAGTTGGATTGGCCATGGTAAATTGCCTGTAGTGTTCAGGGATATGTAGATTAGGTGGTTATAGGGGGATGAGTCTGGGTGGGATGTTCCAAGGGTCGGTGCGGACTTGTTGGGCCAAAGCGCCTGTTTCCACACTCTAGGGATTCTAATCTACGATGAAGCAAGCATATAGCTGCAGTAGAATGCCTGCAAGAACCATTATAGTGGTAGTAATGATTGGAACCTGGTGGATATTATGGACAATGAGATCCTTGATTGGAGTTGTTAACTTGGGCCACCATATAAATAGGGGATTCAGAATTTTCTCAGATCAGGGACTAACTCCAAGCTGGCTGGCTACAGCCAGTGTACTGTTCACATGTTAATAAAGGGTGACTTGGTGATGGGATACCAGCCCCTGTACAGTTATTTCAGTGGTAATGGTTAAAACGTTTACTCTGTTGAGTTTCTGACAGAGTAAAAACATACAAAAAGACAATTAGTCAGGTTTTTACTTCCAAAAGGAAGATTCAAATTTTAGTTCAGAAGATCTCAGACTTCAGTTTAGAACAGCCTTCCCTAGCAGGACAATCAGGTCAATTCAGAAGAACTAGTCACCCTTGCTAAAAAGTGTTTTAATGTGGAGCTTCCAGGCCAGGAGAGTTTGAACACAGAACTGTCAGAACTGAGAAATTTCAGGCTAACAAAATTGAGAGAGCTTCATAACAGAAGACACAGAAAGGAATTGCAAAACAAGATCTCAACTCTCCAAGGAAACGAAACTAGAAAACATCATTTGAGTAAAGATTTAAAAGCTGGGATTGGAGTAATGTTTCTCTGGGATTGAGTGTCT